AATATTATATAATATGATTATAGAAATTGGCGTGCTTGTCAAATACTTGTTGTTTTAGTCTACGCGGCTGCTAATGTTATTCGAAAACAACTAGTCGTGTGTTTTGTGCCGTACCTACATGTAAACAACAAATAATAGTTCAAACAATGCTTTGGAAAAGTTTATCGCGTTTGTTAGTATATCAGTATTCGGAGAGAATTTCAGATCTCCACGATCGTTTTTAACCGAAATACAATAATCGAAAATAACAGATACCCAGAGTGTACATTGAAAAAAAAAAAAAAAAAACGTTTTATCAAAAATCGCCCCCGAATTCGATTGTCGGAGCAAGATATCTGGTAGAAAAGGATGGAAAATACACACACACACACGCACGTTATAGTATAACCAATACGATCCTCGCTGTACGTTCAAAATCTAAAAAGGCGGTGCATCAAAGCATCACGAAAAAAGTAATAAATCATAATATTATACACATTCATACACACTGCTACGATTATAATAATATTATAATGTGTCCATTGTCTGTGACCGTATTCGTGTACCGCGCGGTCATATTCCTAACAAAAATATTGCTCTTGATTTATAATCCTACAATAATGACTACACTGCACTGCAAGGTTTTAATGAATATGTTCTATTTGCAGGTCCCAACAATAACATTTAAAATACGCGGCGTATAATAATAAATTGCATTGTAATTATGATTATCATACTAGAAACAGTTAGGGACCGTATATATTTTCAACGCGAAATGTCGTACAGTCTCTTGACTATATAAATTGTAATGCTATTTTGAATTTTCACGAAAATAAAAGTATGATAGTGGTTACAAAAACTATTTCAACAATACGCTTTTCATAATAATAGTAGACTTTTCTTTTTACTATGATGGGTGATTTCGTTTTTTTTGTACTTTTTTTTTTTCTGTTTGTGAGCAACAAAGGAAACTTGATCCGAAGTATCTAATCTTGCAACTTTACTTAAAGGTAATTTTTTTAACATTTCCGTATTTAAATGCAAACGTTTTTTATTGTTATTATTATTATTATTTTTTTTTTTTTGTTTTCGATTACAAAACTATAAAAATGTCTAAAATAAATGCGATTTAACATGCCAACGAGTGAAATACCATTTCGGAATAATTATTTCGATCCGTTATTGTAGACTCATTGTGTGCCGATTCTCGATTTGTTTATCTCGTTTACATATTGTGCTAAATTATATGTATAGATTGTAAATATTCAATAGAAAAAAAAAAAATTCTGATTTAACAATAATGACGTGTGATAATTGTTTATGCTGAAAATCGTTGTAATACATGGTACACAATACACATATTATACATAAGGTTAATATTATTACTTAGATTATGATTTTCCCAATAGTTTTCCTCTCGTTTAGTATTCAACCCGTAGGTTGGTTTACACTGTAGTTATTCTAGTTTTCCACTTCGAGGATATAGGGTCATTTAGTTTGCAATATCTATACCGAAAGCGACGATAAATCATTGCAATGAAAAACCGATATTAAGCCGCCCTCGGTAAACTGGTAAAGTTATAAAGTCGCGGTTTCCCCCGTTGTCGGCAAGGCAACCCAGTAATCAATACAATTAAAACCGGTGTATTTGTTGGGAATAGTATTGGGAATTTCAGAAAAAATAAAAAAAATAAAAATAACGCAATAGTGAATTGTCCATTGTAAAAACCAGTGGAATTATTAAAAGTAAGACATGAAAAAATCGGAGCATTTTTACTATGTGACGAAAAGAGTTTTGAGAGTAAAAACACACATCCTAGTTTCGACTAATGGCCTATTAGCTACACTCAATTACAATATTTAAAAATTAATTCGATTTCTGCGATATTACAATCGGTAGGTGTGTATTAGTATTTTCCGATTTACAATTTTCGAACCCGAATTATTATGTTTTCTGTGTGCACGTTTAAACTGTTAAAATAAAACAAAATAAACAAAAACAAATCAACGTGAGTTTTTGTTTGAATAATTTTAATTCATTGCGATCAGTACCGTGTGTAATAAAATGGGTACCCGGTGCCAGAAAAATTTCACGATAAGCAAATAATAATAAAAAAAAGGCTTAACCTGTCTGTTAGGCTTTCGTGACGTTTATATACGTTTATGACAAAAATATTCGGCTATCGACATAAGCGCCAAAGTGCATAAACGACATGTCATTTGCGCTAAAATGAATATTTTGTATAAATAGGTATTTAAAAATATTTAAAATTGTCAATAATCGATAAAATGTGCATAAGAATAAATGAAAATAAATGTAATTTTAATAAATAGGTTGATTTTTTCGATCTTTAAAAATATCAGATAATACATTTGTCGATTAAGACTAAACGTTTGTAGTTATTGAACGATAATATGGTTCTAAATTTGATATCACACAAACACAATTAATAAATACATCTTTTATAATATATATATATATACGAGGGCTAATAAAAAAGTATCAAGACTGGTAGTATCATTTGGAAAAGGAGCATCGAAGAGCAGTAGGATTGGTATCACTTGCTTCTATGAATTATTCTGAGTACATTTGTTTTTATTGCTTCTCTATAAAATTCTTCGGTTTGATTTCACTGATATTTTTGTAAAATATATTTTTCGAGTTTGGCGGTAAACCCAAAATAAACCCAAAAGAAGAGTGACAGATTTGGAGATTTTAGAAAATTTGTCCGCATTTTTTTCCAGTTTCAGAGGGATGCAACGTTTCATGGTTTTTGCCATTAAATATCAATTGAAAAACTGAAAATGTGCCCTCGAGTGGCAACGAGTTCCGCTTCTTTTGGATTCATTACGAAATAGCCAAACGTGAAAAACGAATTTTAGAAAAATATCGTCAAATCAAAACGAAGAAGTTTATAGAGATTTCATACGAATATATGTGCTCAGTATAAGTCATAGAAGCTAGGTTTACAAATCGTTTTGCTCTTCAACGCTCGGTTTCCGAGTAATATTATCAGTCTCGATACTTTGTGATTAGCCCTCGTATATATCAATTAACCGTGGCACACTGGTACCCAGGATTCGTAAGGCGCTTTTTTACTTTTGTACCATACGGTTTTGTTTTTCTTAGCTCATTTTGGCGCTCATGTCTTCCACCGAGGTATTCAATTGTTACAAAACTTAAACATTTTCAAACAGCACCCCTAGGTGCGCCCGGTTCGTGGGCGGCACCTCTCGCACGCTTCTAGGCACGACCCTGATTACGATTGTAAATAATATAGCGTAAAAACATGTTCGTGTTGTAATATTAGTGCCTTCGCCGCCGCAAAGACTTCAGATATAGGACGTTGAAATTTCATTTTGGTGGTTCCAAACGAACGAAATATGAACGTTTTATATTGTCGTCGAAATTGTGTTGATACAATAAGCTTGTGTAAACGACAGAGTGATGGGAGGATTGTTGGTTGTTATTAGCTAATAGAATTATGCCATCGAACGGACACTATTATCGGTTGGGTACTTCGGCGGCAATAAAACAATAACACCGGGACGCAATTTCAATAATAGAGTTTAAGTTATTTGTTTTCGACTTTACGATAAATAACAATAAATAGTAGTAAGACAAAATAGTGGAATAATTTCGTTAATATTTAACTCAGAACCCACGGGACTATTTGCGGCCATCTGATTAGGTACCTACAACTTACCCCATATTTTACCATACGAACTCTGATTAAATGTTTCGTACGTTTCTGTCCGACCAACAAACCATAAGCGTATCGTTTTTCAATTTTTTACTAAAAATATATTTTAGTCAATTTTAATATAATCTAAACTCTTTGATCAACCGTCTAATGTCTGTACGTTAATCCTCGATAAGAAGCTCGTTGTCTAGTCGACACAGTTTCAATACAGATTGCTATTTGAAAACCAAAAGCGATAATGGTTTTATCCCCGAAAATCAGAGTGACACTAAATAACGGTGATGTAATATTTTAGAGCTGTTTGTTTCTCAAGTTGTCCGAAAAAAAAAATATATTTAAAGTTTACACTTTTCCAGATAATGAGTGTATTATCGAGAATTGACCACCCTGTATATTATATAATGTGTAATGCGAAGATTTGGTGCAATACAAATAATGTGACGACAAATAATAAAAACAAAACCACCGATTACGAAGCTAAACACACTTTTTCGCCTGAAAATAGACATAGCTGTATTAGGCATCCATACTGCCGGCCGCTATATTATAATCGGTGTGCCATTCGAGCGACCACCCGGAGAGGTCCTCGGCGCCGACAATGTCGCTGTGATCGGTTTTTTTTTTCCTTTACAACTTCCGTAACCCAACTTTCTGGGACGGAAAATAATATATTCTAGACGACTTTTCGGAGCGTGTGACAACATAATCGTGTACACATAAAATAATATATGCGCACATATACGCGGGTGTTCGTACACACGTATGGCAGGCAGGTATATAGTTTTGAACCGTGAAAACGGAAATAAAATAAAAGACAAAAGTGACCCTAAAAACCCATCGCCGACGGTAAATCTTGAGAACAACAGTAGCAACAGTAGCAGCAGCAGCAGCCCTTTGGCAGACAACCGGTGCGTGGAATATTTTGCGCCTCCCGCCTGCAATCTCCGCGTCGTTTGATATCGCATTTCATCATAAAATCCGACGACACAAACCTCTCGTCCTCGACCCCGCGTTCCGGTAGTCCGACGGCGCCGTTCCCGACAACCCTGTATATATATATATACGCAGTCATATCATATTGTATTATTATACGGATTTCAGATCGTATATATGTATGTGATTTTATACAGAGCCGCCGGATTGAAGCTGCATGTAGATGTATAAGAACAGTCGTTTTTTCATTCTCTGTTTTTCCGGATCGTTCGTGAATATAGAATAAGGACGGCACGGCGACGGAGCAGAAAAAATATAGATCAAAGAACGTATAAATCCGACAGTTGTAAAAAAAAAAAAAAAAATATATATAAAAAAAAAAAAAATAAATATAAGTTGCCGTGTACCGAATATAAAAATGTTCTCGGACAAATGCACGCGTCTACCTCTCGCTGCGGAATCCGGATGCAGGACTGGACGCGGAGCCCATTAATATACCGCCGGTGTGCGTGTCATATACGCGACCGAGGGTCGGCGTGATGTTTTTCCGGGGTAAAGTCAGGTCCGGTCGTCCCGGACACCGAGAGCTATAATAATAATATAGCGATAAATGATGTTACGTACTTTTCGATTTAATCGACCTCAACCAAAAAAAAAACAAAGAAACCGTTTCGTCGAAGGACTGTGTAGAAAAACGAAACGGCATTACTATAAAGTCTACAATATTATGATCGGCAGTGTTGTTAACGTTCCTTTTATAGGGGAATTCATTCCTCGTTTCTATAGCAAAAAAGCGACTCGTTCCCGTTCCCCGATCCTTATTTAAAAAAGGAACTCGTTTCTTACTAAAGTGTTCCTTTATGAATACCTTATGCAGTCCATAATAATTTTTGTATATTCCTAATTTGAAAATATTACTAATTAATTAACTTTGGAACATCAAGTAGTAGGTATGTCAACAAAAAATTTGTTGGAAGTCTCGTCTATTGGATTCAAAACTTGATAAGTGAAATTTTCTCCACAAATGTGTTTTAGGACACATTTCAAAGAAGAACAAAAGCATAACAATATTTACGTTCCTATTCCTTTAAAAAAAACACTAGAATTAATTCCTTCATTCGTTCTTCTAAAAAGGAATCAATTTCAGGAATCACTTCTTTAGGAACGCGTTCCTTAACACCACTGATGATCATTTTTCACACGTGTGACAGTTATTCGTTGATTTCTCTGTTGAGAATTCCAAATAAATAAGTAGCTGTTAAAACATTTCGACGGTTCTGCGATTTTCTGTTTTGTTTTATTTTAGATGCACGACATACAGTAAATGGTTTTTTTTCCATCGCGTTGACATCATTTTAATTTTCCCAGATTCAGCTGATTTTGTTTTTCTACTTATTCGTTTATAGTGTGCACGTAAGTTTATATTTGATATACGCATGGAGAATAGCTATCAGAAATACCCTCACGAACGCATCGATAAACATTCCCTCCGAATGTTGGATATACAATATTACAAATTATAATACTCGAAAATGCACAATCTGTATAAAAAGACAAATCGAAAATAATAATATAATAAATACAAGTATGTTGACAGAAACAATATTGTTTTTATTTGTTTACAAGTCGTATTACTACTCCTGATTGAACGAGTTGGACATTGATGAATGAAGACCAATCAATTTATTTATAACCATTGTTGTTACTATTATTACCACTGCATTATAGGTATCTACACTATTTAATTAAAAATATTCGTACGTCACCGCCACAGGAAATCAACCCCTAGAAGCTATGAGTTTCATTTTAGAAAATTGTCGTCCTCTTTTAACCCCTGAGGGGTTAAAAAAATTTAAAAAACCTCTTCTTATAGTGAGTTTTTAAATCATACAATGAAACTACTGTCCGAATTTCATACTTGTAACTTTCTAAATGTCTCGACTCGATGTATTATATACAAACTTTTATTCCCTATTTTCATCCCCAAGGGATGGAGTTTCCAAAAGTCACACGTGTTACTTAGTTTCAAACCGAAAACCTAAAATAGCGGGTTTTTTTTTTTTTTGTTATGGATTTAAAACTAAATTAGGCTATAAACTTCTATCCCTTATTTGACTTATAAAGGGGTTTTTCCACTGCCACACCGGGTACGACGTTTTGCGTGGTTCTAGAAATCTCGGTGTGGCATAACCATATATCTGATATCAACGAATAATATTGACATTGATAGGATTTCTGAAAAACTCATTATTATCTAGCCAATCTAGATACCGGATTATGATATTATGATTTATTAATAGATACAAAATATTTCCTTTGAATATATATATATAATTTTTTTTTAAATAATATTAAAAAATAACCTATCTATTATCATGCTGGCCTCAGCAAGTAAATGTGTATTTCTTTCTTTCTTTTTTTTAACACCATCATTTTTAAGCCCTATAATGTTTTATAATAATTATGCCTGCTATAGTCAGTGATTAATATTTATAATAAGTAGGTAAGTGCACACCTGTAACATTAGAGACATTATAATGACGATAATAATTTAAAAATTGATTTTATAATAATAAAATATTTAGCCATAAATACAATTATATTAAAAAAGACAATGATAGAATAGATATTATGGAGTGACATGGCTAACCGCTGTAAACATACTTCGATCCAGTTGAACAACTGTAAAGTGTATTATGGAAACTGCCGGTATTCTATAGTATGGTTGAAAACATTAATTGGCTAATCAAGGAACGCAATTTTATACGGTCGACATAAAAAACGCAGACATGCCGACATACCTAACCTTACCTGACCTAACCAGCTACCGCGGCAGTGGAACAGAAGCTTTTGGGGTACAATTTTTTTGAAAATACTAAGACATATGTTTCTTAGTTTTTAATCAAAAGTCCTAATACAAATTTGTAAAAATTTTACCTATTTTCACACAAATAATTTGCATTCTCTATTTCGTCCCCTAAAAATCCTCAGTGGATGCCAACGTCATAAAATAAACGTATGCTCAACATTTGAATTTTCTCACCCCGACGGTTTAGGCTGTGTATATTTTTAAATCAGTCAGGACAACTCTTCTTATAATTTATATCTTTCAGTATATAGTCAATATATTTATAGAATATTTTTCAACGATCCGTCTACGTTGGTAAATGCTACAAACTCTCGGCAAATGAGCAATAGGAATACGTTTATGTTTTTCGCGTATACATACAATGTTTAAACTTAGGTCTGTTTACACGCGTTCATCTTTATCGCTATTCATTTATACGCATTGTTTATAAGTGTCTGGTTTTGACGGGTAAATACAATTATAATAATTTCCATATCTAGTGTGAAATGTAATCACATTATTATTAAAAGCTTTTCAGAGCGTACCTACCTATATTTTATAGGTATAGTTTGTTGTTTTTTTTTTTTTTTCGCATATTTTAGTGTATTATTATTGTTAGTATTTTCTAACGTGATAATATTTATGCGCATACATGACTGCGTTTTAAAATACACAACGTTTCAAGTGTATACTATATTACAATCTTAATTTTCGGTTACGTACCTACCCTACCCTATTCAAAAGGAATAATTGCGTATTCACTATTGTTTAATTGGACGCGTATGCGTCGTAACATTTAATTTACGCCTTTGTTCTTGCGTAAGTTTCCGTCCCGTACAATGTCACGTGTTACTATACAATACTGTTGCTACTATATATCGAATTGAATACAATTTTTCCAATTCGATATGTTTATTGTTGTAACGTAGTCACGCGATTAATACGAACATGCCGGTCGCGGGCGTGTGCATAATAATTTAGGTTTTTTTTTTTTTTTTTTTTTTTTTTTTATCAGTTTTGTGAATATTGTGTCATTGCGTTATTTTTATATTGAAACTATATTATAATGAAAAACTGGTTTTCCCTTTTGTGGGGAAAACTCCTGACAAAATCAAAAAATGACCTCCTTAAAGTACCTCCCCAGTCCAATTACCTTTCGTAAAAAGTCCTATCATTGTAAATCAGAGCAAAATTGCCGGTAGAAAAGCTGTCTACAGAAAAAAAAAAACAAACATCATAGTAAAACCGCTCGCTTCGCACAGAATCTAAAATATACATATTGCATATACTTATACGACACCATATTGTATACACTTATGTGTTCAGTTACAAAATATTATATTCTTTATAGTGTTTATGATATATTTATGTGTTGAACAATTAAAGACGATTGTATTTTATTTTAATTGATGTTCAAATAATCGACTGTAAAAAAAAAATAAATAAATAAATAATTTTATGTCAATACAAAACAATTTCCCTCGTTTTCTCGGCGTAAAAATAACATTACAACCCTAATTGTTTGTTTTTGTCTTGTTTTTTTTTTTTCCAGTATTTTGAGTCATCAATTAATAATCAGCCGGTAGTCAGACTCACGGTAAAAAAAGTGGATTATTAATCGGTTTTCATTGTGTGTGGATCAAATATACCAACAACAACATTAAAATATACTTCGAGACAAATTTTGCAGAATGTAGAAAATCGGTAAGTAAATTTGCCATTGTTAACTTGGTTTAATTTAAAATAATTAGTTGTTATATTAAAAAAAAAAAAAAGTATAAACCTCTTCGAAATACTAATTTTCGAGCTTTCGAGGCTTACAAAATAACTATGATTCATGGTCGAAAAAAAGTAAAACTTCTGTAAAACCTTGTGTAATACTTCCATTTAAATAATTCAAAATATGAAATATAACTAACGTAATTAAAAAAAAAAAAGCAAATATACCACTAATCCGTTTAGGCTACGTGCCGACGGTAACACTTGGCGGGATAGATTAGAAGGGCGACGATATTATATAATTAAAATATTCCAAAGCTTAAAGAAATCGTCTGTAATAATATGAATAACCACCGTTCCCGGAAAAGATTTGTATATAAAAGTGACAAATGTCAAAACAGTTATTACCGTAAACATTCGCGCTATCCCAACGTTTATTCGCAGTTTTTTCCGGTTATTAAGAAAATGACCAGAAAAATTAAAACACAATCTTTTTGAACATCGATTAGACAAAATTTTCTTTCAGAATAAGATTACTGGTTGAAAAACAAAATCGAAACAAATTGGACTTTCATTGCCGTTAAATTCGTCCGTTATTCCTATAAACTTTTTTTACGACTTTTTCTTATTATCATAAAAACTACAAAAAATTAACTTTTTTATTGCACCGACTATAGATCTTAAACACTACGAAAAAGCTCCCTTGTCATTTTTTCGATTGAAACAATATTTCCAGTAGAAGAGTTACTCGTAGAGTACGTTTATTATTTAAATGATCCCACGATCGGTTTTATTGTAATCTACTATTGTAGTGGATAATCATTTTTTTTAAATTCTGAACGGAGCGAGAAAGCTTTCTCCAATTTTCAAGTATAGCACCTTTCCTGAAAGGAAATATTCTCTGGGTGGTACTTTAAAGAGGTCATTTTTTGAAATTTTCATTAATATTCGAGATAATGAGAAAAACCTTGGTCTTTATTATTATTTATTTATTTTTTATTATTAATAAGTTTTTATTATTTTAATCTTTTTTAAACGCATATTGTAATTATTTTACCATAATTTAACATATGACATAATATGACATATATATTGTTGACAAAACAACACTATCAACTGAACTCCGCTCAGAATCGTTTTTTCGTTAGCAATGTTTTATCGTTGCTTACAGATAGATACACACAATTTCCGTCTGTATCCTACCTTCCAAAATTCCTACCTACAACAGTGGCTGCACCCACGTGCGAAATATGTCTTCGGTTTTTTTTTTTAATTATGCTTACCGCGTGCCCTCGAAACTTCTCAATTATCTGCATCTTCAATATTCGCTCTATTTCTTAATATTTTTAAGTCATCTTTAATTCGGTCCATCCACCGTTGCCTTGATCTACCCAAGGGTCGTTTATTATTTGACTTGTTAATAAGTACCTGTCTAATCAATCTACCTTCTGCACGTCATACATGACCAGCCATTCCTTTTCAAAAGTCAATGGTTTATTCTTGTCACCCTAGCTGCATCGCAAACCACGTTTCACGTTCTTACATAACAACAGGATGTACGTAGGTAATGCATAGTATTTTCTTTGTCTCTTGAGAGATGTTTCGATGCGATAATAATTGTGGATTGTACTAATAATAGATCACGGACAAAAAAAAAATGCTAAAATTTGCTAGAAATTCGCTAATAATTTGACATATTCCTATATAAAATATGTATATTTAAATCGAACTCCGACTTTTCTCCTGCGTGATCCTGTGAAATTTAACATTTCGCCGAGTAAAACAATATAACGACATATCCGCGTGTAAAATATAATAACAATAATAATGTCCGGTCGGGCAGCGGGTAACGCCGAAAAGAGGAAACGCGTTTGAAAAGCCTCCGTTATCGGCGAAACGTTTCCGCGACTTAATACAAGTATACGGCGGACGGAGAAACGGCCCCGGTGTTTTAGCGTAACGATAATAATATACGCACCTATCTATACAATAATAATAATATTACGATCGTATTGGGTCGAAAGTATAAAACAAACGACCCTCGATTCCCGTATACGATACACGGATATTAT